TTGGTAAGCATTTCATAGGTAGCAGACTAGTATCCAACACATTATGAATCCGTTTTTCTCATTTTCCATGGGCCTCTGCCAACAACTCAAGTAAAGTGAAAGCAAAGGTCTTGAAATTCTGGATTTCCTTGACTCCAAACTTCACTACCTGTGATTTCTACAGGAAAACATAAACTAACTTGGCGAAAACCAGGGCACTTAAGGAGCTTAAAGGCTTAAGAGTATTCAAAAACAGTAGGACTCAGTGAAAGTTTTTAGAGCCAAATGTTCAAGTGAAAACAACAGGTGATTTTCCGATAAATTAAAGACAAATAAATCAACCCCAGAGTAAAACTTCTTGGAAAGGTATTGGGAAGCAGTTGTTACTGTGTTGAAACAGAGTTCTCTAATACTTGAAGTATTGCTTGTTACTACTGGATTTGAATTCCAAATATTAAGAACACCACAAAAACTGTTATTCCTGGTTATATCACCATAAATTTCATGCTGAGTGAGATAAACAAAATGACCAAGCCTTGAACAAAATAACAGTTTGTTTTCAGAGTGATGACAGAGCTGGGTTTAGGGCTCCAACAGTATTTTAAAGTTCCCTCTCCACTAACCATAGACTTCAGTGGTGAGAAAAAGGTATCAGAACTCTAAAAGCTCGCAGCTTTTTGAGCCAGCACTGAGGTTCTGGCCAAGTTCTTTCCACTTTCTTTCATTTGGGATTAAGTTGGTTTCCAGTATAGTCTGTGGTCTAGTAATTGACAAAACAAATAAATAAAAAGGAGAAATATGTTCGAATTTATTTTTATGGCAACTTCCCCTCTGCTAAAAAAATAAGGGAGAAAATGTATAAAGTACGGCCCTAGATATCATGACACTTAATTCCTTACAGGAAATCAAAAGCCAGTATCAGAAAAAGAATTAATCTTCTTATAATGAATATTTTGGATTTCTTTTCTCTCTTATATCTGAAACTTGCTGAGAATTAAAATCTGTGCCAATCCTAATTAGTATGCAAATAAACTCTCCCTGCTGACACTACAGGGTAAAGTTCAAAGGAATTTACAAAGGATGACTGTGTTTTGAAATTTTCTCCATGGAAAGATACCAATCATAAACATGGGTGATCTATATTTCAGGCAAAATACTCTGTACTGTACTTTTGAAATAACTCATTTAAAAATATTAATTAAAAGAAAACAACATTCTCTTTTGTTTATATCTTATACAGATGTACTTTCCCCCCATACTTAATATTCACAACAAAATACTTGAGAGCAATTAAGTCAAAAAAGATTCTTAGCATTAATGTTACAAACATCAAAAATTGAATATTCTATAAATTGTCTTATTTCATAAAACTTTCCCATCCTTAGACTTCTTTTGCCTTTTTGGTTCCAATGCAAAAATAAATTTAGTGGTTTTCTCAGTAATCAGTCTGTATCTTTGTTTCCATGTTAACTCAAAATGAGTCTAAGTAATCATCTCTCTAATTCTCTGCTCTTCCCAGTTTAATCTACTTATTGCAGAAGATCTAACACTATTCCCCCACTGAAACACATCCCTTAGTACAACATCTAAGCCTTCCTTGAACACTTCTGCTCAACCACCCCCCTGGGAAGACAATTCCAGTGCTTGATATTTGCATCTTTTTGAAAGAGGACAACACGCACATCACCCTTAAGTGGTGCAAAGTAAGTCATCAAGGTGACATCATGTCTTGTGTTTAGTTAACCAAGGTCTGCCACAGCAGTAGGCCAGAAAAATGAAGGCAAAGAAGCAGCAGAAGGGAAGAAGTCTCTTGAATTGGCATGAAACTAGTGAAAGCCAGCTGTAGTCCTTTCACTTCACTTTCACATCCGAAGTTCTCTGCATCAGATCCTGAATACAAGAAGTCCAATGTGGAATCCAGCTGGCAAGAAACAGCAGTTTAATGCATACTGTTTGTGCAAGTGCCTACTTATAAACATGGTTGATAATACTTAACTGTTTAATGAATCCTCTTCAAAACAGTCTGGTCTGTTAAGGAGCCAAGAGACTGTGATTCTATTTTCAGCTTTACTGAATATCTGATAGGCAGCTACACACAACTCACTTTAATTCTTTAACTCCTGCTTGTGTTCCAAAATAAATAATTTTTAATTTATTTTTGTTTATTTTACATTGGAGTCTCTTTCAGCCAGAAAATACCTCTAAGTGTCACAATCCCATATCTTAAGATACTCAAAAAACCTGGGCTTAAATGTATTAAAATCCAATTGGAGCTCTGATTTGAGGGCATTTAGGTGCCACGGTAAAATCACGTGTAAGTAATAAACACCGGACAGTTCTGCAGTCGTATTGTAGCCTTGTTTTCTCCATAGTAGACATTCCCTTTGTCAGTGTGCGTGTGAAAGAAAAGTTGACCAGTACAAATCAAACTCAAAAACGTTCTTTCAAACAAATCAACTGGTTCTGAGAGGAGTTTACTGCATCCTGACCATGCCTTGAATGATATCATATGCAAATACCAGATTCTCTCTTTTAAAACCCTATGCTATTCCAGACTGTGCTTTCAAAAGGAAAAAAAAAAAAACCACCCCAAATCTTTTAAGATTCAAGAGCAATTATTTTAAAAGCATTTATGCTAAAGAAAGTACTATTGATCATTGCTCATCAGCTTTCAGCACACATACAGTACAACAAAAGGAGAACTAAATTGGGCTGCCTAATTGCAAGGGATGCTTTGAATTACAAGAAAACAGTTCAGTAGCTCACCCTGAGAGCAAATACTGTAGATGCATGGCATTCGACATCATAATTCCAGACTGGATTCCAATCATTAGGGATCTGTATGTATTCCAAATGTTTCACAAGATGCTTTTCACAGGACATACATAGTATTTTACTGCTAAAAGCTAATAATTAGAACTTTAGAATGTATCTACCTAATAGAAGCATAAACAAATATACTACATAATTTGCAGATGACTTGTATTTAAAATTAGGAATTCTAAGCTTAAAAACTTATTAGAATGCAAATTATTTCTGGAATATAAAAATCCTACCTGAACTGAAAAGTGAACAGCATAAAAATTTAACCAATCACCTCACTGTACACTTACTGATATTTGGAAGGAGATTAAAGATGTATATATTTATGTTTCAAGTGTGATACATTTGAAGCCATGCTCAAGTCTCTTAGTTCAGTTGCATTAAAACTTTCTACATTTATTAAGTTAATAGACAGATTTCAAAAGCTAAACAAAACAAGGCCACTAACATTATTACATATAATTTAACAACAACTAAAAAAAAACACTATCAAATGCCAAGATTAATTACAGAAGTGGAAACTAAACAGAAAGATTTGCAACACATTGAAAATGAAGTCAAAGCATCTGTCATTGAGTCAAGGTTGTTATTGGATGGGCAGTGCAGAATGCATATGGATGTGATTAAAATAATCCCTCCGGTAAACATATGTAGACATAAAATTTATCGAACTTAAGTACAGAGAGGATTGAAGGAGTAGCCAGCAGCAGATTGACACATTACCTTTCATTTATGCCATAATCAGCACATCTCGTGGCCTAGAAACGCTGTATTTTAGTAGCTTTTATGTATGTTTAATTTTCACACCTCTATTGCCAAGATAACTGTAAAGCACTTGCAGATGCACACTAAAACTGAAGCAAGCAAGCACTGACATAGATATAGCCTGGGGATACAAAAATGTTGAGATTAAAAGAGCCATATTGAAAAAACTCTTCCTCAGGATGTTTATTTGCTTAGTTTTGAAATGCAAAAGTTCACAAATTTGAGCATTTATTGTGAATCAGTTGGCACAAAATTAAATTATTTACTTTACATCTTTCCATACAAGTCTGGGATAAAAAGACGGACATCAATGTTTTCTACTTGAAATGTTAATGAATTTGGCCTCCATTTCTTCTGGATGGCCAAGTATTTGGCAGAAATTTAAGAACAACCACCAAAAACATTCAAGTATTATTAAGAGATTCTCATCCCATTCATTCTGGTTTGATATTGGACTACAACTACTGACTTCACTGGAGTGTAAATAAGAGGTAACTCAGGCTCATACCTTATCAGCTGTCATTTTTTACACGTGTGTTCATCAGACATGAAAGATCAAAAGATCTTTTGCAGAAGTTGCTCATTTTGTTCCATGGCATTTTAGTAGTGGATTAGTTAGATATTTGCTAATGACAACTTTGATAATGATCAATAAAGGCAGCAGGTGGGCAGTCAGCAGGTTTATGCTCACTGCTGCAAGCAGCATCTAGAAGCAACATCAAAGAAAGGAACTATTAACAGAGTTATCAGACCTGTAAAAATGTGTTTAAGTAGTTTCGCAGAAACTGTTTCCAAAAAATTTCTATTAGCAATATTGATCACACAAAACATGAGCTCAGCTATTAGATTACACACATCACTTAGTTATTACAACATGGAGACATCAGGTTCGAGGTTCCACATCAACTGATTGCCATAATATTATGGTGTAATAATGACGTTGTACACCACTATCTAGGACTGTAAATATAAGAATGGGAATTTAAGCAGCAGAGTTAAGTCCAAATTATTTGGTAGAACGAGAGGGAATGGCTTGAAGTTGCACTAGAGGAGGTTCAGGTTGGATATTAGGAACAATTTACTTACAGAAAAAGTACAGGAACAGGCTGCTCAGGGAGATGGTGGAGCCGCTGTCCCTGGAGCCATTCAATAAACAAGCAGACGTGGCAAGTAGGGACATGGCTTAGTGGGCAAAACTGGTGGTAGGTGGATGGTTAGACTAGATGACCTTAGAGGTCTTTTCCCTTCCTAATGATTTAACTCTATGTATTCCTCCAGAAAAGAGGCATGTTAGATCATCTAATCATCTCCTAAAGCATGATGTGCTTCAGGTTGCACTCTGAGCACACACATTTGAATTATCTTTCTGTCAATAATGTGTAACAACATTGTTTAGTAGTTTAAAAGCAGTGCTTATATTGAAATTTACAAACCTCTTGTAGACATTCCAGCAGTAAATTGCATCTTGCTGTCACACTGGCCAAGCTCCTCCCCCTTTGTCAGGATACCCTGGGTGACGTTTTAGTGCTTCCATGCAGAACTTTCCATGCCAGTAAACAAGCTTCACTGCATTGGTGTAATAAAGGGCTGATAAAGAGATAACAAACAAGATCAAAAGATCACCAAAAAATAACCACATTCTTGATTCATTTCTCCTACTGCTTTCTGGGTATGAAAACTGACTTTTTTTTTTTTTTTTTTTTTGCATATTCAATAACCAATGGCCCAAGTATTAAAAGCAAAAACAATCACATCTGTTAGAAAATTAATTACCTGTTTCATATATGCAGTAATACCAACAAAAAAGATAAGACTGCTCTGAAGCAGCAGTAAATAACATTTACCAGAATCTTGGGAATATTTCCTAAGCAGAGGTGCTACAGATTTCCTTGACTTTTTGTTTCCTCTTATTATTACATTTAAATATATCAGAAAAATCAGCATTTCTCACTCCTTTCATGTTAAAACATATGTGACTTACAATTTTTCTTAACATCACCCAACAAAAAAAAAAAAAATAAACAGATACAAGAGAAA